TGAGAATATACGTAACCCTAAAAGTATAACATATATTAAATTATGATTAATAAAACAAGTTTAATTATTAATATATACCAATAATTAAAACTAACTCTAAATACATATATACCCATATATAGACATGAATATACCTCCATGGGTAAAAACTGTACCCATTTGCACTATTCAAACAGTCGGTTAATCCTATCCAAGCCCAACCTCATTTTAAAGATAAATAAATAACATAACACATTTAATTACACATTCAAATGCCACCTAAACATATAATTAATACAGACAATACAATTGACCAAATAAACATTTAAACAATTAAGCAAATAGTTAAAATTGTAATTTAAAACTTTTAAACAATTAATTAAAAAAAACACTTAAGCACCCATAAACAACTAAAACACAATAAAATAAAATAATTAATTGCCAATATATCCTTTTGAAACTGGAGGTATTACATATGGTTTCATCGAAAATAGGGAGTCCATTATTATTTTTCTGGACAGCATTTTTGATGTTTGCACGTGAGTCTTCAGTGAGATGTTTTTCCTACCAAGATTTTAGCATTCCTGAGAATCCTAAGGTAAGCAAATCAATTATATCTGGTTGACTAAGGTTATGGGAAGTAACATAATTATTAGCCACCATAGATATGTGATTTAATTTATTCAGAATTTCTTGTTCAGATAAACCATCGATATTCCATTATAGAGTTTATCAGAAGAAACTGAAAATTGATTTTGAATATTTCTTTTTTTATATTGTAAATCTGGAGGTGTTGGCCTAAGGTACCAGTTTTTTGTAAGGCTAGTTGGGTTAACTCGTCTATTAGTAAAACGATTGAATTCTAAGTTGGAGAAAGCATGTTCAGTCATCTGGATATCAGAGGGGTAATTAGAGTTGGAAGAGGAACGGTCAGAATCATTATTATTGTTGATGACAGTTTTTTCATCTTTTACCTTGGCTTTTTCTTTCTCAAGAGTTTGAAGAATAGTTTCAATTTGTAGAATAATAGAAGGGTCTGGCAAGGCCGCGGGAAGCCCTTTTCTGTGAGTTGGCATAGAAATAAGGGGTTTTTCCATGGGTAGAGAAGAAAGTTTTACTGTTGGTGCTGTAAGTGGCGACAATGAAAGTTCAATTTTGTCAAGTTGTGTTCCAATAGTGTGTAAGTATTGATTTGTGAAATTTTTTTGTTCGATTATTTTTCTGGTATCTGGATCAGTAGAGGTACTAACTTTGAGGGGAGAGGCAGTGACTTCGGTTCCCATGTGATCCAGAATTACAGATTCTAATGGAGGATAGGAAGAGGAGACTGTTGTCGTATCAGATTTTTTCCAGTTAACTTTTGTTTAGACATTGACTTTGTTGGTAGTTCTCAAGATAATCAAATAAATTAATTTTTAACTTGTGCTCCATCATGAAGTGCTGCCATTGGCGGAGAATTTTATTTTGGCCTTTTTTCAGTATGGGTTTTCCTAAAAGTTTTCCGTTTTTTCTTTTTACTTAGGAAGGAGTATTCATCATGTAATTTAGAGAGATCATATCTAAAAAGTTTACTAATGGTATTTAATTGTGGGTTAATGGTGTTGAGATTTCCAATAAAATCAGAAGGTGTGGGAGAATTTGGTGTGGATTTAGATTTGGTAGTGTGTATATAACAAGGATGATTAATTTGTTCTTCTATTTTAAGACCTTTTAACTTGATATCTTTCACTCTTGGATCAAGATTGAAATTTTTTCTATTTAAGGGGAGAGGGGGGGGGGGGGGATTTCACTTTCTCGGTCTAATAGACCAACATCAGATCCATTGAAGGAGGTAGAAGGACGAGAACGAGTCAGAAGACGTTGTTCACCAAAGCTTATTCTGACTGTTCCATCAAGAAATTCCTGCACTTTATCAAGATTACTTAAATCATTATTTATCTTGAGTGGATGATTTTCATTCTGGAGAATCCATTTGTTTGGCAACGAAATGTCTTTCCAAGCAATTGTTTTCTTTATTTGGATATTAGCAGCAGGGGTGCTACTTTCAATTAATAGAATATGGCCTTTTATATCTTTCTTTGCTTTGACATTAAGATTAGTTTTTATTATTTTATAATAGAATCTGTAAATTAGTCCTAAGGGTTGAGATCCAGGGAGCATAGGGTATCCTGATGTTTTAATATTAAGGGTCAGAGCTTTTAATAGGTGAGGATCACTTAGGCTAAGAGTTAGATCTGGGTAACAATCGAAATGGACTGGGCTATCACAAAGACTTGTTTCCATTACTCCTAAGAGACTAAGATCATAATCTATGAACTGTGCGTCTCTAAGGGCTAGTAGGATGGAAGCATTAATTCCTCTATTGGTGAATGGTTTTACTGCAACTTAAACTAGACCTGGATGGATAAAATTTTACCCCATTTCCCTATGTCTTTTGATTGCATTAGCAGTGAGCAACTGGCATTTTTCATGTTCTTTTGACAAAGAATTAATTTGTTCTACTGTTTTAATTGTGTAGTCACTAACAAAGGTTGACTTGAGAAAACTAGTTTCATAAGTTTATCGGGTTAGAATTCTTAGAATATTCCAATCTTGAAAATCTAAGTTACTGTCTTCAATGCGATATTCCTCTTCGTTTATTATGTTGGGAATTGGAGGAGGTAAACTAGAATTAGTTCTGAATCTATAACTCATTGAAGAGGTAGATTTAAATAACCTATTCATGATTGCTGGTTACTGACTAATCTTGCGTGGTTTTCCGGTAAAACGGACTGTGCTCATAACTCTACTCAGTTGGTATCTAAATCTTATCCCTGCGCTCATCCACTCATGCCTATTCGCTCAGGCCCTCATTGGGACTTACTGTTTGGTTCATAGGACTTATTGTTTGGATCTGGACTCACAGAATAGAGATAGAACTAACAAATCAGTAGTACGGATTACTGGAATAAGACACTGGATTAGAAGTAGCAGAATCAAGAACAGATTATCCAATATTTACCAAATGGCTCTGATACCAATAGTGGAAGCGCACATTAAATTAAAACCAATATAAACAGAACTAAACTAAATATAAATTAGAAGTAAATAATATATATATATATATATATATATATATATATATATATATATATTATACTGAAAATAGAACTAACTGTAACACTAACTGATATCAAATTACTGAAATTAAATGACTGAATCCAAATTACAAATTACAGTACTGGTATATATATATATATTTAAAAGACTTTTTTCTAATTTTTTAATAAATAACAAACAATAAGTAAAGATTTAATAACGGAAGTTAAAAGGAAAAAAAGGACTCATAGTTTAAATATTATAAACTATAATGTATTTGAAATTAATATATATATATATATATATATATATATATATATATATATATATAATATTATAATTTAGGTTCGGGTTGGCTTAGGTTGCTAGCACCTCAACCCAAGCCCAACCCTAATTAAATTCGGATTGAGATCTTTCAACTCAGGACTAACCTTAATTGTAAAATAATTGTCCAAGCCTGCTAAAAATCGGGCTGGGCTCAAGTTATCCAACCCAAGTTGCACTCCTACTTAGGAGTAATCCAATATGAAAACTAAAGAACTTTAAAAGTTTAATGTAGAGATTAGTCATGTGGACAAACCGAATTAATCTCATTCTCTAACTTGAAGTTTCAAACATAATTGCAAACTTAAGTTAAAATCCAAGGATCGATGGATTGGGCTCCGGTTGAGTACTTACGGTTGAAGATTGAGTTAGAGTTGAACATTTCATATGTCGTATTGGACTTGAATTGTACCTTTAACCTGCCCGAGTTACAACCCTATTGAAACCAGGCCAAAATCAAGATCCTCTCTAGGGTGATTTAGGCCAACCAAGTGTACGACAATTCAAGAGTAGGATAATGCAAAAGCTTTAAATTGATAGTGCAGTAATTATATAAATGTGTTGAATTCGCAATTTAATGGTGTTATGATATTAGAACATGATTTAATATATTATAAAAGTGTTGCATCTTAGATTCAAATTTGTTTTATAAATATTACAACATTGGCAATAGACACTAGTTTAGAAGTTTAGAATAATGTAAAAGCTCTTATATTTCAAGGGGACTTTGAGTATCCAAGCTTAATAGCAAAATATATTGGGTGTGAACTTTCGGGGAAAAAAATATTATTTGCATTCCACAAAAAGTCCTTATTTGCTCCAATGTTTTGTAATGGGCGTGGCTTCGGCTGGTTCCTTAGCTTTTAGGGTTACTTTAGTTATTTTTTTAATTTGAAAATAAAAGTGGAACCTTTAAGGCATGTTTGGCATGCATTTTGTTTTTGCGATATTTTTTTTTCCGTCCAAAGTAAAACAAGCATTTTGTTGTATGATATTTTGAATAGTAATCAGAAATATGTTTGGTAATCTCTATTTGTTGCAAAAATTTTAGAAACAAAAATATAAAAACATGTGTGGTACAAAATTATTGCAATTTTAAAAAGTATAATGACTAGTTTTAAAAGAAAAAATTTAGGTATTGTTTATTGTTACAGTAACCGTTGCAAAGGTTCGAAAATATGTAAAAATATCAAATTAAAATTTGACTTTTACAACTATTTATGAAATTTTATGACTTTTGACTTTTACAACTATTCATGAAATTGTTTTGATATTGTACAAAAAAAAAATATTTTTTACCAAAATCATTTTTTTCAAAAACAATACTAGAGTAGTCCACAAAAATAAAACACTCTACCAACCATGCCCTAATTCCCTATAAATAAAATATTACATTCTTGTGCCATCATCTCTATTAATGCAATGGGCTGCATTCACAGTGTTGTGCGGTGCAGACACCGGAAGGTTCCGGATTCACCAAGCCAAAACTTATGTGTTACATTTGATGTTGACATCACCCCTCGAATACGAGATCGCACGGTCCAGATTTTTTCCAATAAAAAAAAATGCAAAAAGTGAAATGAAGTCCATGACAATAAATTAGGGTTTTCTTTTACACATATTTCAATCCACAAGCCCCACTTCAACATCATATATACTGATTCTCCTTGTCCCTTGGCTCAGGAGCTAAAAAACAACAGAGCCATCTCTCTCGCACAGCAAACACACTCTCTCTCCTCCTCGTTGCTGCAACAGAGATGGGGAAAGGTCCAGGTCTCTACTTAGATATCGGCAAGAAAGCCAGAGGTAACCGACCATTGCTCTAGCATTTCTCTAATTTATTATTGATTGGTCCATAATTAGTTAATCAAATTGGTGGGTATATACACACATATGCACGTATTGTGTTTATGCTTGTTATTGATTTTTTGATCAGAATGAACCTGTTCTGTTTTTGTTTCAGATCTTCTCTACAAGGACTACCAGACCGACCATAAATTCACCCTTACTACTTACACTGACACTGGAGTCGTGAGTTTCTATCTATAATCACACACACATATATGTATGTATGTATCTGTATGTGTGTATATTTTTGTGTGTCTGTATGATATTTTGGATTTAATCAGTTGATGAAGCTTAGGGTTGTGGTTCTTTCTAGTCATTAGCTTAGCTTGTTCTCTTGAAAATGGAAGAAAAGGAAATAAAAATGAATTTAGTTACTCACATTTCTATATGTTGATTTCCTAAATAACTGAGAAATGCACTCAATAAAATTGACTAATTGTATTACAAGCAATTGCCTAGTGTCCTTATTTATTTATTATTTTCCCCTGAAGGGAAAACATAACTTGGGTAAGCTAATGGTTTTTTCCATTGTGCCTTGATATGGTGACAATGGACGTGGGGGTGGACCCTCCGGCCCAACTAGTTGCCGGAAAACAAAATTGAAAGGATTAGATACTGTAATATATTTTCTATATAATAGTAGTCTTAGTATTTTTGAATCTTGATAGAAACTAAGATTTATCATAAGATTATTTGTAAATCAAAAGTAGTCCATGACCTATTAGGTGCATAAAAAAATGAATCATAGATATGTGTACAAAATTGGACCCAAAAAAATTTAACTTATCATATATTTAGTCAAGCATGTTGTAGATTTGTACAAAAATGAGGAGACTTCTATTGGTGCGCTTAAGTTCTCCATCATTAGTACTCTTTTTTGTAAGGTTCTAGGGAGAAATTGTATCCATGGAGGAGTTAGTTGATTTTTTGGACTCTTTGAGAATTTAAAGGCCCTATTTGGCCTTGTGTAGCTTTTGAGGGATGCATTCCCCTTTTGAACGCCTTTTTAATGCAATCTTACTTATCAAAAACAAAAACAAAAAGATGATCTTTTAGAGAGTAAAAATCATCTGAGATGATTTTCGAGGTGGAAATGAAATTCGCTGCAATTTTCTTCCAATGTTTCAAGTGCCAAGTAATGTACAAGAATCTTTTCCAAAAAAATGAAAAAGATTTACTGTACTATGATGGGGCCCATATTATTCAATGGGATCTTATCACATCACCTAATTCACCTATAAGTATAGTCGAACGACTTGAACCTAAACAAGTCAAGTGTCCATGTTTAACACGCTATGTTACACGAAACACATTTCTTTTGCCAAGAAATGAAAGAATTTTTTTTTATAAAAAAAAATGATAGTTGTGCTGCCGTTTCCTTGGGTTTGGTTATTTAATAAATTTTTCCACCCATTGCATATACTCGAGTCCATGGAACATATTTTGTAAATGAATAAATTACTGTTACCTATTACTATGTGCAGTTGAAATTTGGTTGTTATCCTAGATGTGCAATCCACATGATGTGGGCTGACTTGTTACAGATGCATGGAAGTTTGTTAACCTCTTGTATAAATACCATGTTAAGGCTCTCTATGCATTTTCACACCCTATTGCAATTATATTGTTGATTTGGATGCTTCTAATGGCCACATACTTTTTTCTTGGTAAGTATATAATGTCCACGTATCAGTTTTGAAGCTTTATATGTATTTGTATTAATGGAAAAGATAATGAAAGACAGTTTATCTTGTATTTGTTTTGATATTGAGGAGGGAGCCTAACCTTTTGAATAGTACTTTTGCTATCCTCCCTAAGTATAGGATTTGAAGATAAGGATAGGACATTAAGGCATGTTTTATTTAGTAGTGTAAAAATAGTTTTCAAGAATTCTGAAAGGATAAAATAGTTTATAGAAAATTACAATAGATTCTTATTTTTTTAAAAAAAATCAGTCATTTCTTGACACAGTTTCGAAGGAAATGTTAGCAAAACAAAATTTTGTTATATTCCTGGGAATAAAAAACCATTCTTTGAAAACTGTACCAAACATGCCTTTATTGATAACTTGTTTTTAAAAATAATGTTGTCCTTAGCGCACAAAATATATATATATATATTTTCCTTCCCCTTCTCCGGGGCCATTGTTTGGTGCACTGATAAAATGCTCTAGCTGTCAAGCATGAGAACGCTAGTTTGAACACTCTGGTGCAAATAATGCCAAATGTTAATTGTATCCAGTCCAACAACCTCAATTATCGGGGACTACACTTGGCAATGACCTTTTTGTTTCCTTCTCTCTCCGCTATCTTTCTACAAACAATGAAGGATTAAACTTTATCCATTCTTTTCTCTCCTCAGTTAAATAAACTTTAAGCATGTGAGGAGGTAGAACAATCTTCTCATTTCCTTTTTATTGTCTCATAAGTAATGTGATTTGTTTCATTTCCCTTTCACCTACCTGGATATACTTTTGGTGGCGATTATATTTTGGTGTGGTTGAATTCAATTTTTTTATTTTTATTTTTTAATTTTTTTCATATTATGATTTTTTTTTTCCCTCCACATTTCAGGCCATTACTTCATCAGGAATTAAGAAAGGGGATCTATTTTTGGCTGATGTGAACACCCAGCTGAAGAACAAAAATATCACAACAGATATAAAAGTGGATACAAAGTCTAATGTAAGTTACATAACTATATTTCTTGTGAAGGTATGCCTTCACTGGCTATTGTACTTTTTTAGTTTTCTTCTTTTATAAAACAACTGCCATTCAGGGAAAAAAAAAATTCACAGAACTTTATTGAACGATATCAGTCACTGCATATGAAACTAACTTTTTCCAGTATCATTACTCATTAGACAATATAATATATTATCTAGGGTTAAATATTGCTGTAAAAATATAAGGGATTGAACACACCTTGGGAGCTGGAATTTATAGCCTGTTATTCTGACCATAGTAGTGCATTCTGATTTAATTTATCTGTTGCATGTATGTCACAATTTTCTTCAACCATCAGTAGTTATTGTATTTATATTAGCAGTATACTATGTTTTTTGGTGTCCGCACTCAACAAGTAGAAACAAGTATACAGCCAACCAGGCCACAATTTTGTTCAAATTTATCATACACTGACCATTTGGAAATATTTCATCGATCGTTGTTGGTTCATTTTTTTTCCTTTGTTGTTAAGTGAACAAAATTATGGTTGATGCACTTTTTCCCTAAGATCACACCATTCCGACTTCTTCCCTTTGAATTTTATTATTGATTTCTTTACGTGATTATGCTCTTCTTTTACTGCAAATATGAGTTTTGGGTTATTGAGAAATCTTGGTTATCATCTGACATGCATGAAATTTGTTGCTGTCCATTTTAGTGATCTGATATGCATTTCGAATTTTCTATCTTGCAAACTATGTCAGAGCTTGCCCCTTTTTTTACCTGCAACTTCTTGTACATGTTAATGAAAAGTACACCATTTGTAAATATTGGGCGTGTAACTGATCTTTTCCTTTCTATGCCAAGATGATTTAAGCATTAAATGAGAAGTCATTAAATTTTGCATTGCTTATTTGGCTAGAATACATCCAATGTGCCAACGCTATGCAAACTTTGTCAGCAGTGCTGTCATGTTTACCAGCAATTTTCATTTGATATGCATTGACAGATGGCACAGCATTTGTTCATTGGTTGTGAACTAACCTTTTCTTTCTCCTTGTATCTAAGTTGTTGGTTTAAGCATTTGATTAAAACTCATTTGAAATAGGTCTCTGATCATTTGCTGATGAGTTTACGTGGACTGTAGGTTTATACAACCATAACCATTGACGAAGCTGCACCTGGACTCAAGACAATCTTAAGCTTTATTGTTCCTGATCAGAAGTCTGGCAAGGTAATGAATTCCTTTGCTCTTCCTTCTGTCTTTTAGATTTGTTACCTTGCTTTGATATAGTGCAGACTCCTGAGTAAGGAGGGCATGTGCTTTTAAACCTCGTCTAAATTCTATAGATAAGCACCATTGAAAATGATTCTTGAGCAGCCAGCTTATCTGATTAGGTGATTGTGCTTTATAGGTGGAACTCCAGTACTTGCATGAGTATGCTGGAATCAGTACTAGCATTGGTATGACTGCAACCCCCATTGTCAACTTCTCTGGCGTGGCTGGGAACAGTTGTGTTAAACTTGGGACAGATCTCTCATTTGATACTGGCTCTGGAAACGTCACCAAATGTAACGCGGGTTTTAGTTTCTCAACTGCTGATCTCATCGCTTCATTGACATTGTGAGTACTTCCTTAATCTAAAAAAGAGGAGCAAGAGATTGAGATTGTTAATCAATATGTAAATCATTCATATACCTTAATTGTTACCTTGCAACTTCCTTTTTTTACCCTAGTATTATTTATGACTTAAAGATAGTGTAACTGCTCCATAAAGTTGAACAGCTTTGGATGGGAAAGATAAGTGCAAAAGTTGTTATGGATATTTGCCGCTCGTGGACCAGTCAAGGGGATAAGGCCAACATTTTAATACATATATTTTATTATTATTATTATTATTATTATTATTTTTATTTTTTTATTTTTTTCTGCATTGTTAGTTTTGGTAAACTGATAATGATGTAAAGGTGAAACATTGGTTATATTAAAATGTCGAGACCGCTGGGGAAAAGAAATAAACTGAGAATGAGCATTTAAGTTTAACGCAATCCTTTCCTTGAAATTCAGCATGTTGGCTATCAGAATTGTGTTTTATTAATATTGGGTTGATGGGAAAAATAAAAAAAATAAAAAAAAATTGGGTTGATGTGCTTTCTCTATTAACGAGCTTCACTTTTTATTGGTACAGGAATGACAAAGGGGACACCCTTGCTGCTTCCTACTACCACACGGTTAGCCCATTGACCAGTACAGCTGTTGGTGCAGAGCTGACTCATAGCTTCTCAAGCAATGAGAACACACTCACTATTGGAACGCAGCACGCACTGGACCCGCTAACAATGGTGAAGGCTCGGGTGAATAACTTTGGCAAGGCAAGTGCTCTCATCCAGCATGAGTGGCGTCCGAAATCCCTCTTTACCATCTCGGGAGAAGTGGATACCATGGCTATTGAAAAAAGTGCCAAGGTTGGACTGGCTTTGGCTCTCAAGCCATGAATTTATTTAGTCAGGGAAGACCACTGGGCATGAGGCATGAGCAAAAGCCCAGCGTCGTTTTTTGTATGTTGGAGATATGGTAGAGAGCAATAACACAGTTGGAAATGACCTATACGCAGTTTCGTTTGTTTTCCGTACAACTTGTGAGTTGTGCCCTGTTCATGCGGCAATACTGGTTTTTTATGCTTTGATGGTTATGGGCTGTAAAAATAATTCAAACTACTGTTATAAACCGGCGTCATCATTTTCCTTGTTACATTCTCCATCTATTCATCCCAATGTTAATTGTACATTTAACAGGCTGAGAGGAAACTCTCTGCAGTTAACTTCTTAACATTAAGACTGAAATTTGGCGTGAGCTAAGGATTTGTTTGCTCAAGGCTTGGTGTGTGTTTTGTGCAATTTGTGCGAGTGTTGGGTCAATGGGTGATAGGATAAAGAAGAAAATTTATGCGATTTTCATCCAATTCAGGCTATTTCAAGTTCTTCCTAAATTTGGAACGTAATTTTTCTTTCATATGGAAAGAGATTTGTACAGTTTTCCAGTTGAAAACTGACATCATAAAAGACATAAACCTCACTGCAAAGTGCAAACAAGTGCACTGTGCATAACCTTCTATAAGATCTGAACAAGGTACCGGATAGAAATTTGTTCCAACCATTTAAACCAATGCCTTCTATATGCATCGATCATCAAACTTTTCCGGAGCAGCTAGCGACACCTTTCAGATTCCTCAAATCTTAGATGACTTCGGCACGTAGTTTGGGTTTAACCCTAAGAAATATATATTTAAGGTCAAACTGGCAAAATTCTATTTGACAAAAAATTTGAATTAACGACATCACTTCTCCACCAAATAATACCAATTTCAATTATCAATACAAGATTGTGGCCTCCTGAATCAGTCAGAATCTGAAATTTTTGTACACAGCTGTTGCATGTATGAAACTTAGAAGACCCAAGATAAATGGTAACAGAAAACTAATTTTTTGGTCTTTATATACCCGTAACAAAAGAGTTTTGTGATGCAGATCCTATTTAAATTAGAGGAAGAAAAGAAGGCGGCCTAGGCAGCAGAGAAGGAACAGCCAAAGCCCAGGAAGACTTGAGTAAGAAACAAACCTAGCTTCCTCTAATTAAATAGGATCTGCATCACAAAACTCTTTTGTTACATACAAATATAATAAAGCAAGTTGAAATCTATATACATGATTAACATCCCATACTATTTTTACATCAAACTATACCACACGTCCACAGGAATCGAAACACTAACAGAGATGAAACTGTCTCAAATTGTAATAGTAGCAACCATTCCAAATACTAGCGTAAAACTTCAAACAAGCCATATCTCTAACGTTGCATTGTATTAGCCTGGAGGAGACCATCTCTAATCTGAGTAGCAACGTCTTTCACCGCGCCTGGTCCATGTGGGATGAAAACAGCGGAAGCCTTTGAGGAGGCGCCGATATCCTTCATGGTGTCAAAGTACTGGGTGACCAAAACCATGTCCATGACATCCTTGGATGTTGTCCCGGGCACATTCGAGGAGAAGGCAAGCACGCTGTCCCTCAGCCCATCCACAATGGCCTGACGTTGCCGAGCCATTCCAAGCCCAGCCAGGTACTTGGACTCTGCATCTCCCTCAGCTCGTTTTATCTGTAGTATCTTCTCAGCTTCAGCCTTCTCATTTGTAGCAACCCTCATTCTTGAAGCTAGTTTTGACAGAAAACCGAAATCAAATCACGCAGCACAATAATTGGTCAAGCAAGATAAATAGTTTTAATTACCATTTGTGTACATGCGTGTGATTGTGACATATATAAAATGAAATCTTCAATCTTCAGAACCCATCCAATTACAATAGTTACGAGTTCTGTCAGACATGGTTTAAGTTTACGGAATGGGTAAACATCTTCTCTCTCAACACTTTCAATATTCATAGGCATTGAATGTTATGAGTCCAAGGTTGACTCCATATAAGATTAATTTGTGAGTTATATCGCTGAAGTTCCTTTATTCTAAAAAGAACTGAAGATGGTACAATTAGAACAGTCTCAATAATCAATAATTGCATGAAGAAAGATAAGAGCCTGTTACAATATTTTTGTAATGCCAAGGGGTGACAAAAACCAGAGCCTCCTTTTAAGATCGATATTTCCACAATACTAAAAAAATTATAATGCCCAGTGGCGACAAAAATTAGAGCCTCCTTTTAAGATCAATAAATCCACAAAAGCTTGCAACAAATAATTGGTTCACTGATTCTGTAATGTTTGATTTCGGACAGATGGTATACATTATCAAGACAATACAATAATTGTTTCATATTATGAAGTTAAGCATCTAGTACCTGCATTTATCTCGTTCATGGCTCTCTTCACGCTCTCATCTGGTTCGATATCCACAATCAGAGTCTGAACTATCTCGAATCCATAATGGGACATGGCCTATTCATCCACAAGAAAGATCAAAACCAAGAATTATTGAGCAACTTCCTAGTTCTAAGCCATATTACCTCAACAGAAAGATACCTTTTCAAGTTCATTCTCCACAGCTTTTGCTATTTCATTCTTCTGCTCAAAGGCTGAATCCAGTTCCAACTTTGGCACACTAGCCCTGATAACTGAGGCAGTAATACAACTTATTAATATAAAGTTTAACAACTACTCCTCGGGTAAGCTATAATTCCTATAAACAGGTCAACTGCTCTCTCTCAGAGGTAATATTTAGTAGTCATCGATAAGTATACTCAAACATTCATGATAACCAAAAAAGGAACAAATTGTTATTTTTTACTAGTTTCCTTAATTTCCATGGAAAAAGCATGCATTATCAGAAAAATGAGAATGAAGACTTGCTAGAATGAATAATAAAGAAAGGTTATTGAATAGCAACAAAGATTTAAAATTCTGAAAGTTGTTACAAGCTTAAGCTTCAATCCATACCATCAAAGACATAGGCTTGGATCTGCTCCCTGGTGTTGCTGAGTTTGTAGAAAGCATCAGATGCCTTTTCTGCCAAGGCTCGGTATTGAATAGAAGCAACCACATATACAAAAACATTATCCTGAAGATGTAACACAAATTATAACATACTTACATATTGCGTTTCACATCATATTAACCATTCAGAATATAAAAGAGGCTATAGATATTGCTAAAGAGAGCAAATTGTACATGATTTTGACTCAAAAGCATTTCCAATTTCCAACTCAAACTCTAGGTACAAAAATTTATCTGTAATTAACTTGAAGAAATCAAGTATAACATGAATCCACCACATTCAAAAGTTCATATCTTCCATATCCTTTTTTAATAAAAACAAATCAAGTACAAAAAGTTATATTTAGGAAGAAAAAAAAAAAAGTACAAAAAGTTATCTATGATTATGCTTGCTATTTCATTTTCCAAAAGTATTTCGAGTGTTTTGATGTGTAAGAATAATCTAATAATGGTCAATAAACCATAAATCCAGTCTTGCTATCTGGTTGTCAACTTTTCATAAGATACTATGTTCTTAGCCATCTAAATTCCAAGAAATTTAGTCTTTCAGAATGAAGTTGGAAAGTGAGAAACAAACAAAAAAAAAGGGAAGAAAGAAGGAAATTTTTGTTAAAGAAAATTGATATGCAACAAACCTTAGTCTTTGTTTCACATCGAACATCCAGCTGCTGCACACGTAACGAAAGGAGACCTGCTAACTGTTGCCCCAAACACCAAGGCACAAAGTGACAACCAGGATTAAGAACCTCATCAAACTTCCCAAAAACTTCTTTGACAGCTACAGTGGACTGATCCACTTGAATACAGCCTAAAGCTTGTCCCATTGTTGATTTTTCTTACTAAAAAAATAAGTAATTAAGATAAGTTACACAACTCCATAAAGCAATATTAATAATGCACAACCAACGAAAAAATTAACTAGATGTAAAGTTCTAATGAAAGGACAACCAAAGTTTCCAAATAGAAATGAATTGAACTAGCAAAACTTTCAATATATTAAGTGTGTGTATCTGAATTCTACATTCCATGCATTGCCAAAGTGGCGTCCAAATGGCACTTGCAACTAGGTGAGTGGCCAGGTAATGACTCCTAGATTGCAACATGGGCTACGGGGGTCCTAGGGAGTTCTATTTTGGGGGTTGAAGCTTATGGTTCATCAAGGTGTTTCTCGCGAGGTGTAAACCTTGGTCTCTCTTAAAGAGAAAGGGACAGCATGTGAAATCCAAAAGAATATTTCCAAACAACGTGACATCCCATTAAACCACACCACTTCTCACTTGGATGCACTGATGACATGTAGTGCCCCCCCCACTGCTTGCCCTCATGTACATCCCCATTCATAAATAAAGGTCGACTCCCATCATTTTCAAGAGAGATTTTTAATACTTTCAATTATATTCGATGTGTTTTTGACACATTCTCCGAAAAAGCATATAAGCATCTTTACCAATAACAAGACAAACTTTTCTTCAACTGTAACTGGCACTAAAATAATAGAGGTGACCTCAGGATTCCTTGATCTTCTCCATTACTACCATCCTAAATCACAAGACTATATCGATTTTCACCTCACCCAAATCCACATGGGACTACCAACTTACGTCTAGAACTTCCATTATCCACAAGAAGGCTCAGTAACCACGGAGGTACGTGTATGAATAAATTGTATGAGAGCAATTTCAAACAAAAACTTCAAAATGAGGTCACTATAACTGGAATACTACCCATATATAGTGATATTAAAACCGAAATAACTTTGTTACAGATGGGCAAACTTAATGAAAAATAACTAATTTTTTATTAAAAAAAAAAAAAAAAAACAAACAAACAAAAGGCCTTAAAGGCAAATCCAGCTTCAGACTAACTCTGAGCCATTATAAATGCATCAACCTTTGTTAGAACTGATTATAGAACCACATTTGAAAATATTAAGTAGCCTATATACATGCAGTCCTTAAGGCAAAAAAAATTCAAGAGAAAGATTACCATCAGTTGCACTTATTGCTCAATAGCTTCAAGTAAAACTAAGGACTTAATAGGTCAAACATTTCACAGAATACAATTATACATATTAAATGACAAGATATTCAAATCAGCCCCTTACCAGAACCCCAAGGAAGAGCAAAAAAACTGAAGTCCATTGTGTTTTGGAAAACTTAAAACTATATACACACTATTAATTTACAAGATCAGTAGATAATATGTAAAAATATTATATACCTGTTCAATTTACAGGTTCTTTTAAATTAAATTAGCCAACATCTAGTTATGTAGAGTTAACTGCAGATTTAATGAATTTTAACACCATCAACGTAGTAAATTAAGAATATGAAATGATTACACGTGTTTCCTTAGATATCCACTAAGCAACTCATAAAATTTTTGTTCCTGCGAAAAGCACCAAAATAAAGGGTCACATACTGATCACACGAACCAAATATATGCTGAGACTATAGACTTTAGGGCAACATACCACATCGAAACAGTCTTAACAACATCAACAAGCAGTCTATCAGCTAAATGACAAGTAAATGATGCTATAAGAAGTGTATACCATGTTCAAATTATTCTATATTAACCTCAAAACAGAAAGTTCTAAGGTGGATATTACTACCATCAATTGTTATTTTTACAGTACAAATCCGAATCACACATTATCATTATGTAAAATTTACAGGACTCTGAGATCTCCATCCAAGTTCCAACAACTGTAAACCACTTAAATCCCATCCTCTCCTCCATCACATATACAAATAATAACCACGTGTATATGCCCATATTGTTTAACACTTCCATATTAAATCATAATAAAGTATTAAAAGAATATTAAAATATTTGGAAGAAAAAACCACTGAATGTAAGGTCCACAACAAATATATCTTAATGAAAGAACATAATTAATCACAAAGTGATCATTTATCCAAACCTTCATAGTCAACGGCCACCTTATCCTTAAAATTATTTTTATTAGATAAGAATTTAACCACGTCATCCAATCAAACAAACAAAGAATTATTTCAATTCTTAACTGTTCAGTTCTAAGTTTCTCTAATTCTGAGATATATATATATATAGAGAGAGAGAGAGAGAGAGAGAGAGAGAGAGAGCGACAAAAACAGACACTCTGACTAATTCTTCATCTTCAAATAATTTTTTTTAAGAAGAAAAAAAAGTTCAATTGGAAAATATCTTAGAAATGGATACAAGGTCAATAAAACATCAAGATATTACAAAATTCAGAGAAACTTCAGAAAAAATCATAAATTAATTCTACAAAAATTATTTGTAAAGAACATTGTAATACACAGCATAAAAATGGAGAGAACAACAAGCGAAAACCGATTTGAATTTTACTAAAAACAGGCAATAACACAATTCATCGCAAATGTAACCCTAAAGGACTAAAAATATAGTAAAAACACGAAGGGCAAACAAGCGTGTGTGTGTGTATATATATATATATATAAGTGAAAAGAACTCAAGAAATTCGTGAGAAATGTAGCGAATCAGTGACAGTTGTTCGATTACCTTGCGAACGAATATGAACTCAGAGATTGAACGTGATCATTACAGAAGAGAGATAGAGAGAGAGAGAGAGAGAGAGAGAGGGGAGAGAGAGAGTATTGCGAGAAATGAATCTATTTTGAAAAAATACGCTATATTATATATACACCCATATAGGGGTAGTGGTAGGGTCACTGCGGGAAGGTGTGTAAAGCATGACAACGCCAGCTCGACAATAATTTCTTATTTTTTTAATTATTTAGTCCCTGTTGCGTTTGGGACACACTGAATTTTTTTACTAAAAATTTCTTTCCAGAAATTTCAATACTGACAAAATTTAGAGACAATCATTTTATTTTTCATTAGTAGAAATTCACACTATAAATTGAGATAACACAATGTTTGCTTGGAGAGAAGGATTTGGGATGGATAGATGAGAAGGCCTAAAATAATTTTTTTGGTGTTTGGTTGGCGGGAGGAAATAAAGAGGGATAAAGCATTGTATTTTTTTATCCGTCTAAATTTGAGGGAGGGAAGAGAAAAGAGAGAGAAAGATTATAACGACAAATATTTAATTTACTTTTAATCTTTCTAAAAGTTTATTTGTTAAAATCTTATTTTATTATCTATTCTATTCAACCAAACAAAAAAAATGAGGAAAACACCTTTCCTAAGTGAGGAAACACCTTCCCTTCTTTACAAATGCTTCATTTAGAGCGGACTCATACATATTAAGACTTAAGGCAAGAAATTTTTAAAACATATATTTTTTAATTTAATACATTACCATAAATAGTATTAATTAAGTTTGCATTTTTGAATCTCATACTAATTAAAGAATAAAAATGAGTAGAAAAATTTTAGAAAAATAAAAAAAAAAAAATGTGGAAAAAAAAAAGAGAGGTAGTTTGAGTAGAACTCTATCACACACTGACTTTTTTTTAGTTCAATAACTTCAATTCAATCAAAAAAATAACAGTCTGAGTAATTATACTTGTACATGGAGTCTTTCAATTAATCCTTATCTACAAAGAAAAAGAAAAAATAAAATCACATTTAAAAAAAAAAAGTCTTTTTATTTAACATTATCCACGTGAGGCTTCAGGCAACCATCTCAATCGCCTTGCGGGTTGATTGAGTCGGCGCTCGCCTCATTCTCTGTCCCTTCCATCTGTTTTTATATCTCTCCAATCAAACGAAATGTTAATGAAAAAAATAAATAAATTATTTGATAAATATATATATATATATATATATATATATATATTTGAAAGGTTAATCAAACACGCTGACACACCCATATTTTCATAAAAGTCAAACCTTTCCATTTGGATGAATAAGTTTGTATGGATTTGATCATTAGTATATTTTTTAAAGAAAACATTTATTGAGAAGTTATTGAAAGACTAAACAAGCACTTAATTTCTGTAATCTGTTGAGTGCTATTTGAATCTACATTCAAAGTTAAACTCTCCTCCCTTTTAGTGCTTTGGGATCATATGATTAACATTCCTTATTTTTTCAGGATTTCAGAGGCCATCGACTATTTTTCTGTGTTCACACATCCTTTATCTTTAGGACCACAACACAGACATTGACATTTGAATCTACCTTCTCTACCCTCTTAAAACCAGCATCCGCAGGTTATATTTTATTCGCACGGGTTATATTGAAGTTTGTCGCATCGGCCCATACATGACGTATTGGTAGGTTTATAATTCTTTTTTAAAGGTCGATCGATTTACACCGATATTTATCACGACCGATATTGTTATATAAAATTTATACCAATATTTGTTTAAGTCCATTATCTCGCGACGGGTGCTGTAATGCGAATCATGGTATTTAGTGATGTTATATGAAAATATTTGATAAAGATAAATTGAGACGTAGTAGTTGTGGAATCTTTAAAAGGATTTGCGTGGGTTTTCTTTTTGAGGACGGATGCTATACATAATTTCATACCTAATAATCTAATTGAAAGTCCTAACAGAAAGAATTTTATATCCTTAGAACACTTTGGATAAGGTCAAGAGAATATAATTTTCTTTATTAAAAGTTGCTGTTAGACTATTAGGTCTAATATTTCAATTTTAAGGCTTGTTTGATTACACGAAAATTATTATTGAAAAATGAAAGTGAAATGAATGAAAATAAAATAAGTTCTCAGTCTATTTCTTTTGAATGAATTTTTTTTGAAAAGTATTGTAGGAATTTATCATTTTATAGTTTGAATAATATGAAAATTATCACGAAAGAAAAGACATTATTGTAAGTTCATACAACTTTGTTAAGAAATCAATTTGTCTGGGTGTGTGTGTGTGTTTTTTTTTTTTTTTTTTTTTTTTAATATATATATAGAAAATTTAGGCATGTATAGAAAGCAAATGTCTTCCAATTTTTTTTTTTTCTTGCTAACCAAACTTCTAAAGTGTTCAAAAAAATTCTATTATTATTATTTTTTTATTTTCTTGCAATTTCCATATAACCAAAGGGAGCAAGTGTTGAGCCAATCTTTTAGTTTAGCTATGAAAGGTTTTCATATGTCATCACTCTTCCTCTTTACATGCTATCCTATAATGTTAATGGCCATGAAATTTGAACGTTACCCAGCGATCTAGAGTGTATTCGAGTCTCCTTACATTTAATTTGTCAAGATAAAAAAAAGATAATAAATAAATAAAGGGCAAGAAATTTTATTGGCCAAAAAAATCTAGTATAAAAATGAAAGTATTTATTATCTGTTCTAAATATTTTTTGACAATTTTTATAAGAAGAAATATATCACTAGACGTTATAATAAAATTAAACAGAATGGAAAAACAAGGGTGAACCACAACACTTTGTGACATAGTCAAGAGAGACTTTTTTATTAGAAAGAAATATACACACTCATTTTGTGCCCATTTAAAAACTAGAACTCTCATCATTGATCTTAAAAGATAGATAAGTGATGTGAGGGGATATTTGTCTCACATCGAATTCCAATGAGAGAATAATTAGATATAAATAGGTGGGTACGTAATATTACTGAATAACTTAAATTTTTGGGTAAATGAACAAATGTCTATCCGTTACGGTTGGTATTAGAGCCAGACTCAGTTCTTGATTCGGTGTCACGCTAAACGCCTAATTCAGAAGGTGCCCGGGTGAGTCACTCCTGGTAAGTAAGGTGGCCCGACTGCAATGAGGAAATATTTGCCTCATATCGAATTCGGATAAAAAAATAATTGAATATAAATAAATAAGTATGCAATATTATTTAATAATTTAATTTTTTTAAGAAAATGGTAAGCACCTATGCGTTACGATAAGACACATACGAGACATTTGGTAGAGCCACATAGGGTAGGTATAGAATAAGTAATTAAGTATAGAAATACGTATCAAATATACACGAGTTTGACTGGTGCAACTAATTAACTTGGTAGGAAACCACTAGTGTCAATGTCAAGGAAAGCATGGTCAGCTTAGGTCATTACTTTCGTCACTCGTGACACCACAGATTTCTATTTGGTTCATGAATATACACTTGGTGAGAGAAATAAAAAATAATTTATTACACACTGCTTAATTTTTTTGGCTAGAATAAAAAAATTAGAGATACTTAAAATTCTTGGCGTATAATATTTTAAAAAAAATCAGTGGGATGATCGACCCCACTGACAATATATTAAGTCCCTGGCCAAGTGTTTCAAATCATTTTTTTTAGTATTATTTTACGGTTTAATGGTAATATATTTTTTATTTTTCAAATTGAATAACGAGGGTTTAATTTTTTAAGAAAATAAAGTAGGTGTATTATCTATTTTTCAAAGTGAATGATGAGCATTCGACTTTTTAAAGGAACAAAGTTGGTGTGTGAGTGATTTACTTGAGTTTCTTGTTATGGAAAAAAGAAAAAAGAAAAAAAAAGAGTAATCTTTGATAGCACTAATTAAGGCTTTGAAATTAATTAAAATTTAGTTTATTTTCAAAAACATTACAACTAATTTCATTTCGAGTATATTGATAGGGAATTCAATAATTTAACAAATTTGACTAACTTTACGGATTGAAATGAAAATTGATGTGATCAGGGACATTAAAAACATTAATAATATCACGATGACTTCCGCAGCACTCACCTAAATCAATTAGATTTGTTGGTGTTTGGAACTTCAAATCACTTTCCTTTTCCCACTACTCCTACTCCTACTCCGCTCCTTCAAATCATTTTCCTTTCCCTACTCTCACTTAGCTCCGGCGTAAGATTCTAGCTTTTGTCCTTGTACATTCGTAAAATACTATATGTTTGTACTTTCATGAGAATATTGAGTTGTTCACAAAGTGGTCAAGTGGCATCTAATTGCGCCTCTTCAAAGCAGATAACATTAGATAGGCAGGTGCTAGATTTCTATAGCATCCTTTCCTTGCCCTTTTCAACATTTTATGACATCAGATTTTCAATTTGAATATAAAATATTTTAGTTGTAAAATATTTACGAATTTTTTTATATTAAAATTTAATAAAAATAATTTATTTATCAATCTTTACACGCCAGATAAACTTAACCTCAATCTATTTATCAATCTTTACACGCCAGATAAACTTAACCTCAATCTCGACCCAGAGTTTTGTCAAATATCAAAAGATAAAAATAAAATATTTTACCTACAAAAATAAAATATTTTCAAAAAAAATATTTTATGTCCAAATAAATATGGGTTTAAAATATTTTCCATTAAGGCTCGGTTTGTTTTGATTTTTAGGTAAAATATTATTTTATTTTTATTTTTTCGGTGTTTGATAAAGGTCTACGTCAAGGTTGAAGCCGAGTCCATTGGGTGGGGCATGTAAAATAACTTCCCGAAAATTGATGGATAAGTTATTTTTATTAAGTTTTAATTTTTTTTTCATAAATATTTTACGACAACCAAACACCAGAAAATAAAAATAAAAAAAAATTGAAAAATATTTTACATCCAGACAAACGGAGCCTTAAAATGTCACTTTGTAGGTAAGTTGGAAAATTATAATTTTAGTGAGGGTATCTTTATAAATTTTATAAAAATTAAAGTATAAAATACAAAAGTAAAAAATTATTCGCCCCCAGTTGTCCTATTGTGGGTCCTAGCCTGACTAT